CCTCCTTCTTGTATGTCTTTTTTTTTTTTTTAAGTACAAATCAATATTTTCTACTTGGCTCACAACCAGGGCTCACATGATGGTGGACACATCAAAGCTGTCAGAATTCTTTTCTTTCTAAGTGCATGAAGAAGGGCCTTGGATGGTTGGCCTTAGCTGTCATTCTAGCGATTAAAGAGAATGGAGGAAGAAACTCAAATGAGACATGCTTAGGGTTGTTGAATTCCTCTATTTCTTCAAAGGTGGCGTGCAAGCTATCACCACCCTTATTTTTGTACCTGTCAGGAGCTGAGGTTCCAGTGAAGGTAGGTCATGGTTAAGTTTATCACCTTCCTTCCTCCTTGCCATCGGTGGTGTCACTCAATGGCAGGCTGCTTGCGTGTTGGGGGTGGTAGCCTCGTACCTGGCATTGACTCTTGCATTATCACATCTTTTATTTATTTTTTAAACTTTATTTATTTTGAGAAAGGCAGTGAGTGAGCAGGGGAGGGGCAGAGAGAGAGATAGGGAGAGAGAGAATCCTAAGCAGGCTCCATGCTAGGCATGGAGCCCGACATGGGGCTTGAACTCACGAACGGTGAGATCAGGACCTGAGCCAAAACCAAGAGTCAGACGCTTAACCAATTGGGCCACCCGGGTGCCCCAACCATCCATTTCATTGTTCAAGGTAGTACACAGATTCAAAATGAGAAGGCTTACTCATATCTGGGCAAAGGAGCCTGGTGGAAGGAACTGAAAGGGCATTCTCAGAGAACCCGGGGTTCTGTCTCACTCACACTATGGAGCCGAACACAGTTGGAATCCAAACCTGAGTACCTCTCCATCTGTGATATTTGCACTTTTGCACGCTGCCTCAGCACAGAGAGGACAGGACACCCCTTTCTGGAAACCATATCTGCTGGACTGTGAAGATGAATTGGACCCACAGATAGAGCCTTACGTAACTTGGAGAATTTACTTTCAATTCCACCGTTCTATTATTGCTTTAATTGATCGATTCCCTAGAATCGATCAATTATGGACAGTACTGCTTCTGGGACACTTCAATTAATGCCCTTGAATTTAGCTGGAACATACAGATATCCCTTTGTCCTCTGCAGCGAGGTATGTTTAAAGTGAACTGGGTTGCAGATGTGTGATTTTTTTTTTTTTTTAGAAGCAGAACACATATTCTGTGAATTTCCTCCCACAAAAATTGCCTAATTTAAGAACTGAAGTTTTACTGTTTTCCAGTAAACCACAAGGCAGTAATAAAAGTGAAGCGATTAAAAAATAAACAACTCAGAAAAAGCTGACAGGTACAGGTGTCTGTGTTAGATCTGGTTTAAGGACAACTGGAAAAGAAAATTTGGAAAATGGAAATGAGGATACACTCAGAAATGAGGAAAGCAAGGAACAGGCTGATGAAAAATTAAACACGTTCCATGTTGAGTAGAAAGCACTGGGAAAATGAGTGTAACATGCGAGAATTTTGTAGGGTGTATCTTAAAATGCCTTTAATATTTAATGTTTTAATGTTTAATATTTTGTGGAGTAGATTTTAACATGAGAAGATGGTAAAAAATGAATGTGGCTTCTGTTAACTTTGTATTCACTTCAAACATATAAGTAACATTCTGCAGCGCTTTTACATCTAGGCTTTTATCCCTCTTTCTGCTTTAAACCTGATTTCTAGTCATTCAATTTAAAGCACTTAGCTTAATTCTAATCAGAAAAGCCACGATGATGCATTTGCTCTGTGTTTAAAAACCACAGTACAGTTAATTCGCCTATGTTCTTTTAAAAAGGATAACGTAATGCTAATGTTTGAAGTCCTTCGTCTTGCCATTGCACACTCTCATAAAAGTAGAAGATACATAAAATGCAGAAAACATTATGGACTGAGTGCCAATCTATTTTTTGTCCATGACTTTGACGGCAACCCAGAATGCAGCCTTTGCAATACTGTGAAATCATCATGTGAGTCACCAAAGCATAAAGGCAAGAGCTATGTTAAGTTCCCAGACATCTGCTAAAGCAAGTGTTGTTTATACAGTTATTGTTTATTTGGGGATTTAGAAAAAAGGCCCTTACTTTGAGCCCTGTGGCATCCTTTCTATTTACAAATGAAGTCACACAGGCCAGACCAAACCAAACACGGTTTCTCCCGGGGAACCCTCTGCAGAGAGGTGGGAAAGCAAGCAGCGGGATTGCATGTGTGATCTGGGGCTGGTGGATAATTGTTAAGCACGGGCAAGTATTTTGGATCAGGACCCTAAAGGAAGGCTGCGGGACCCCAACACAGGGCTCAGGACTTGAAAGAAGTCCGCGCTCACTTCATTCATCGTTCTGAGATTTAGACTCTATTTGTAAAATGGAACGAAATGAATGTAACTGATGCGTGTCTCAGCGGCAGTTCATTTTTAGAGATGAGCCTTGAACTTCTTGGGTGGAATTTTATAACGTGAGACTTCCAGTAGGTGTTTCAGACTTCTTTCTTGACACGGCCCACAAATATGGGGGTCTCAGAGCAAACACCCTGCTGCTGGCTGTTCGGAGGTCAAGTAGGGGTAGGACCATTCCCTGCATATAATAGCTCTGCTCTCATGCGTATTGAAATGCACATGTGCTCAAATGACTTTGTTATAAAACAAAACAAAACAAAACAAAACTTATCCAGTTGAATTTCTAAAACAAAAAAGCATGCATGAATGTTGTGGCTTTAACTATTACTAATAAAGCATTTTGTGTCCCATTCTTCATCCTTGATCCACTACGCTAGCTTGTCATGACCTTCATACCGGAAGCTGTTATTTTCCTTCTTGAATAAGAGGATGGGGGTGAGGGGCGCCTGGGTGGCTCAGTCCGTTAAGCGTCCGACTTGTCTCAGGTCATGATCTCACCGTTGGTGAGTTTGAGCCCCGTGACGGGCTCTGTGCTGACAGCTCCGAGCCTGGAGCCTGCTTTGGATTCTGTGTTTCCCTCTCTCTGTTTCTCCCCAGCTCACACTCCCTCTCTCTCAAAAATGAATAAACATTAAAAAAAAAATTAAAAGAAAAAAAAAGAGGGTGGAGAAAGAGGTGGTGATGCCTGCCTTGGATAGTTCCATCTTTTCATCTTCTCTGGGTTTTGGGGAACTCAAGGATAAAGGAACCTCCACTTTTCCTACAAATCCCTTATAAAATCACAAAGATGGGTCTGATCATGCTCTTTCTGGCCATGTACTCATCCCTGTTCTTGCTGTGGTGGCCAGGGGCCTGCAGGCCTCTGCTCAAACTTGGGTCATGTGAAGCCAGCTCCATGCAACAGGGGTAGAAGGGATACAGGCAATGCTGAAGTAGAAGGTATACGAGGCAGAGGAAAATAAACAAAACCAGACGTCCACTGCACAGCCCTAACGTGAATATTGTTTCATGATTTCTCCTACAGAAAAAAATACTCTGGTAGATAATAGTGTAAAGAGACTTCGAAGTTCGTGCCCTCTGTCTCAATTAGGACGTGAAACGGTTCGTGTTTAAAATGGACACCAAAGCTCGGACCTCATTTGCCAGTGTTAGTACTCGAAGCGAGAGCCCTTCTATTTCTTATTTACGCTGCAGCCTAAACAAACTGTTACAAGTGGAAATTCTGTGTGGCCGGGGATGGTGTCTGCTTTACTCACCCTTGTTGATTCAACGAATGAGCAATGATTTTTCTACCTCCTATTTCTTCCTGCCCCAGTTCATTTAGCAGAGGTTAATCTTCCATTCACTAAGTCTCCCGCTCAAAAACCTACTAGTGCCTCAAAGCACATGGAGTGAAGTGCACGCTTGGTAATATGCTCCACACACCCCTGAATATACGCATGTTGTCTCTCTCTCCAGGCTCATTTCATGTGCCAAAGTGAATTGCTTGCTAGTTTCTGTACAAACCTCACACATACCTGTGCCTTTGCTCACACTGATCGTACTGCTATTCCTTTATTTTAACTTACCAACATGCAGGTTATATGCCACGTCTCCTGCGAAACTGTTCTGAACTTGCCCCGTGCCGTGCAGTTTGGTCCTCCTCCGGGCTGGCACTTAAATCCTACTCTGCCGTGTACTGCAGTGGTTTGTATTCCAGAGGGATACAGCCAGGCACTAAGGTGTACTAGTGTCCCCGTTAGCGCTTGGCATTGTGTCTGACACAAGGCACTTGCTAAAAAGGGGTTGTTGAATTCAAGTGAGATAATCCATAGGGTCAGGCAGATAGTTACAGGGCACTAATTAGGGCTACGTCAGTAGGGGGGCTGGGTTGCAGATGGTGAGAAACTAGTGAGAGCATTTTAAAACCCTGTCTCTAATTATTCTTTGATCTGAAACTTTAGAGGCTCCCCAGGTAATTATAATTTTGTGAGAGAGAAAAGTCCTTTCTGGAAAAGTCTTGCTTAATGTAACTGTGTCACTTTGGTTAAAGCTTGGCGATTCTGTTTTACTTTATATCTAGTGAATTTCCACTCTCTGAGCCTCACACTTGAGAAAATGAGCCAAAAGAAGGAACACTTGATAGAAATCTCTGAAGAAGATTCATATTGAAATTTCCAACAAGAGCAGAGTTTCTGTTTCCTGAGGCAAATGAGTGATTTCAAATTTCTTCAAGGTGAACATATTGTCCGTGTACCTCTGTGAAAATACGATGGAACATATTTTCCATCAACGCGGGTTGAGAAGTCTTGGAAATTTCAGGAGCACTGATGTCTTCTTAGCATGAGTTCATGCCCAATGTAAAATCGGACAGCGTTTATAGGGTTAAACTTTGGGTCTCTTGGTACATTCCAATTCTGGAGTAGAGATTGGATAGGATGTGGTAAATGGGATAAGGCATTGTAATAACTTCTTCTGGCTGAACATCTCTGAAGTCCATCTGAAATGTCTCTCCTATGGGCGAGATAAGTGAAAAAGGTAATAGACTTTCTTGGGTGTAATTGGGCTGCCGCTCCTCCTCCCACCCTTCATTTCCACCCAGTGTTTTGACTCTGTTCTGTTACTTGCCCTCGCCAGGTGGCGATGCTGATTTGCGCTGGCTTCCTGATCGCCTGGATTCCTTACGCGGTGGTCTCTGTGTGGTCAGCTTTCGGAAGGCCAGACTCCATCCCCATCCAACTGTCTGTGGTGCCAACCCTACTTGCAAAATCAGCAGCAATGTACAACCCCATCATTTACCAGGTCATCGATTACAAATTTGCCTGTTGCCAAACTGGTGGGTTGAAAGCAACCAAGAAGAAATCCTTGGAAGACTTCAGGTAAAATTTCGGAAGCTGGGAATGAATGATACTGTTTCACAATCCTATGGGATTCAAGCCACTCCGATATGCTATCTTCTTAGGCTTAGAGCTCATCACTTAGGAGTAGTGTAATGAGGACTGTATTTTCTGTTCATCAAAATTCCTGAAATCAAGCCATCAGATATGTAGGGTTGAATGTCATGGGTAGATGATACCAAACGGATGCTCTATTTGAGCAACCACCATTCATCCCTCTTCCTTATCTAGGACCAAATCCATTTTACCCCAAGAGTACAGTTCCACATGGCAATGATCCAAAATTAAGTTCTCACAATAGAACAGATTCTCCTGTTTGAGATGTTTCTGCCATTAGCTACGAGTTCTAGGATTTGGGCGGGCAAAGGAAGGAGAGAAGGGAGGTGACATATTCTGCTCTCTGTTCAGGTTCTTTGTGTTATTCCCACAAGAGCCCGATGTTGTCCCTTCTCTTTGTCAGACAAGGAGATGGAGGTAAGGTAAAACAAGTAAGGTTAAGGTTAAGCGAGCTGCCTGTGTTTACGCAGCCAGCAAGTAGCAGAGCAGAGGTTTCAATTCGGGTCCCCTGGGTTTCAAAACAGTCTACACTGTTTCCGCTACGAAATGAACAGGTGAGTTTGGGGATCCAGCACCATAGTTCCCAAAGGCTCCATGTGAGTAAAGAGTTGAGAGTGATGTGTGGACTTTGCGTCCAGTTAGGGCCAGTCTTAGTAGAGTGTAGATCAGGCACCTGAATGCATGGTCTGAGGTGAGGGGTGTTGAGAAGGAATGGGTTCTCTGATTTCCATTAATTCTTACTCACTGGATGTCTGGTTGTTTCCCAATACTATTTTCCTGTATCAAATAGGAAACAGAAGGGGGAAGAAAGGTAGAACTAGCTTTGAGAAGATACGGGTCTTTATCTTGTTCTCTCAGTGTGCTGGAGCAAAGTGGTTACGTTTTGACCTTTAACGTCCTCACCATGCAGGGTACAGATCAAATGAAAAAAAAAAAAAAGCACAAAGAAACAGTATTGTCATTGTTGCTGGTACAAGAGAAGAAATACACAATTTGGAAGTAGAAGATCAGTGTTTGGTTGATTTTTCTGTATCCGGGCAAATGAACTACTTATAACTTAAAATTGGGACGAGCTGCTTGTAACAGCCATCATTTGAAACTGTAGGAATTACACCAAATGCATGTTTGGAAAGGGCTAGGTGACAACTGTTCGTGGTTTTTGTTTTGTTTTGTTTTTCTTTCACGTTGTTGGTGGTTCATGCCTTTTCTGTGGAATTGGATAAACTCAAATGCTAAAATGCATCTATTTCGGCAGTAACAGCACTTTTCCCTTATCAACTATTAATACTTTATTATGAATGCAGGTTAGAGAGAGTGTTCTTCATAGAGCAGTTGCGGGAGAAAATAATGGGCATTTCTTCCTCTGAAAGAGATGGGACTTTGACAGGAATAGCTGAAGGCAGATTGCACCTACCTCATAATCTTGCCTCGAACTGAGTCTGTGTTCTGTGCCTTAGCTCTTCAGGGTAGGCAGCACATAAATACTCAATTGCGCAATAATGGAAAGAGAGAAATTTATGAGGAAGGCAGTGACTCGAGGCCTCAGACCTTCAGAAAAGCCAGCCAGCCAAGAGTCAGTTCAGTTCACCCGCTCCTGTTAGCCGTTGCTATGAAATACAACAGTTGGTTGGCTGAAGGACAAGTGCTGTTTTCTTACTCCGGGGTCTCAGCTTTCAGTGGAAAAAGCAGGCGTAGCACTAAAAAACCCTTGGGTTTTAAAGTTTGGAACATCTTTAGAAAAGGAACGCAGAAGCGGTGTGAGGAGTCGCCGATTTTTAGAAGGCTCTCTTCAGAATAGAACCTTCCAAAGAAGTGAAAAAGGAAACATTTTGTCGTCGTTGCTCTTGTTATTAAAAAACTAAGAAAGTGGGTAACATAGATGCTTATAGAATGAGACGAAGTGGTAAGAAGCCAGTCCAGAGTGGTTAATGCTCTGCCAGAACAGTTTAAATTGAATTTAAACTAGATTAATTGATATCCCTGTTTTTTTTTTCCTTTTCTGAGCTCTGGAATGAATTTGCTTATAATGGGACACCCTCTTGGGAAATATTTTGCATTCAAATAAGAAAGCTAATGTGTTGAATATGAGCTTGTGGAAGTAAATTTTGAGTGGTTTTTACAGTTCATTTAAAGTTAACTAATTCCCCCCGCTGAATTGAGTCCTCTTGAGATTTTGGTAGAAGCTGATGAACTAAAGCATGGCCAAGAGCCCTTTTTGACAGGCTGTCTCTTATTCATCTCATCTGGGTATCCAGATGAGGTCTCCTGTATTTCGCAAACAGTGCTTTTCCGCCCTGTTTGTGTATTGGAGACACCTGGGGAACGTGGAAAAAAAGCTAATGCTCCCTGGAAAGAGATTTGGCTTCCACTGGTCTGGATTGGACCTTCATTAGTTTGATTAGTTAGCTCTCCCAGATGGTTCTCGTACCCAGCCATTGTTGAAAGCCGGTGACCCAGAGCCTGGAAAAGGAAAACATTAATAGTTCAGAAGCCTCTCACCCCACTTACACAGAGACCACTGAGGTCATCTACATCAGTGACAGGGAAACCAGACTTCAGGAGCTAGGCCAATCTTAGATGCAATAAAAACGTTCAAATGACACGGGGAATACATAGCGAAGGACGGAGGCATTTTATATTCCTAATAGTTTAGTAAAGATAAAGTATTAAAAAAGTACTAAATTCTGGCATTGCCGTTGTAATAAACCTTCCCTCACCACCTTAATTTGAATGCTGTCCTTCACTCTTTGTAGGTAAGATACAGGGCCCAACTGACTGGTTGGTAGATAGGTAGGCAATGTAGTTTGTTCTAGGGACAGAAAACTCACTAGGCCACGCGGAATGTGCCATGAATACGTGGTCTGGTTTTGGAAAGCTCCACTCAAGGGATTTCTTGACTTTGAATATTTAAAACAATTTTCTAATGTTTATTTATTTTTGAGAGAGAGAGAGAGAGAGAGAGAGAGAGAATGATAGAGTGTAAGCAGGGGAGGGGCAGAGAGAGAGGGAGACACAGAAACAGAAGCAGGCTCCAGGCTCTGAGCTGCCAGCACAGAGCCAGACGTGGGGCTCAAACCCACAAACAGTGAGACCATGACCTGAGCCGAAGTCGGACACTCACCCGACTGAGCCACCCAGGTGCCCTTTGGTTTTGAATATTTTAAAGTGATTTATTATTTGCCTTCTCTTTCTAGTTCAAGTCTTGTGTGTATAATCTTCATGATAGACAAGACCGATGTGTATACATAGTATGTGTATGTGTGTGCGTATATATATTAAGTTGTGTTTTTCTTCTCCTGTATCTAGGCTGCACACTGTAACCACAGTCAGGAAGTCTTCTGCTGTGCTGGAAGTCCATCAAGAGGTATGAAGATGGGCACGGCATCACTCATGGACATAATTATTCACTTATTTGCCTCTTCACTGCTGTTGATGTTTGATTGTGACTACACTTTTCTCTTTATATTATATTTTTATATTTTGTACATTTTCCCTCTTTTTCCTTCAGCCAGGATTTGCTGGGGAATGCCAATGGCCAAGTGGAAATTAGATTGTAGGATACTATGTAAGGAATATTATTACCAGGATGAGCCTCCCTGGAATTTCTTTTTATTGTAATTTAAAACCTAATTGTCATGCCCCAAAGTATGAAGTCTGAGATACTGAGAAAAAATGTTTAATTACTTTATTTATTAGGATGTTATTTAATTTCATTATGTCATCATTATTATTTCTTAATGTAGGGCCAGGGTGGGTTTTGGGGTTCATTCAGGCGGGTGATTGTTGGGACTGTGGTTCTTTGACTGGTATCCGCTTCTGGTTCTTTTTTTTTTTTTTTTTTTTAAAGAGAGAGAGAGAGACAGAGCATGAGCAGGGGAGAAGCAGAGAGAGAGGGAGACACAGAATTTGAAGCAGGCTCCAGGCTCTGAGCTGTCTGCACAGAACCGGATGAGGGCCTCGAACTCACGAACTGTGAGATCATGCCCTGAGCTGAAGTCGGATGCTCAACCGACTGAGCCACCCAGGCGACCCTCTGCTTCTGATTCTTGTAACCATTCTCTTCTGATGTTGGCAAAGAGTCATACTAACGGTAGTGATTCCACAGAGCAGTCCTCTAGGGAAATCAATTTTGCCTCAAACCCCTAAATGGAAAACTCTCTCGTGTCTCCGAATTTGAGGGCAAAAGCAATTCTTACCGGTAATAATTTTACCCACATGGATTTTCCTCATGAAGCTGTACATACTAACAGTGGAGGTGACAGGGTATTTATTACGAGCTGTAATTATTCAAGAAACAAATTTAGTGAAAATAGCTCTATGGAAGTATTTTTCGTTTGTTTTCCGTTACCTTTTTGTTTCTTTTGTTCATTGTTTTCAACAAATACCGTGTGAGGTTTACAAGTGAAAGAAATGCAGATAAGAATAAATTGGAATGATTTCAGTTGCAGATGCCTGCCCCTGAAGAACTAATGCAAGGGGGCAGGCATGTAAATACTAGGTCCAAACTGGCCTTTAAGACCTGTCCATCCGGTCTTCTTTCCTAATCCAAGGAGGATTGGGTTAGGGCCATCTTCCTTGCAGTTCTTTTCATTGAAGCCCTAGGCAGGGATCCCCCATGCTCCCTGCTCCATTCACCTTCCTCTTCTGCTATGACCCTAAACCCTGCTCAACAATTCTGATCCCACCTTTCTGATAACGGCTGGTGAGAGAAGAGGGAGAAAGAAGGGAGAGGCCCTTCCAGAACCTTTGATAATCTTTCCACTCCTTCCATCTGAGGATTTATAGAGATCAGACCCTCCTCCAAGTCCTCAGTCCTCAGTACATGGTACCTTGGGTTTCTTTGTCTATTAGTTTTCTCCAGAGTTGGGGTGGAGAAGGGGTTGATGAGTGTGAAGGGCTTATGATAAGTGCTCAATAGATGTGTATGTAAAACACTCTCCGATTAAAGCAAAGGGAGTGACACGCCTGCGTGGGGCTTGGGACTGCTTACCTGAGTGCGGACAAAAGTGGCAGGATTATCGTTAGAATAAGGAGCAAGGGACTTTGAGGCAGATGAGTAAAATACAGAGGTGTGGAAGAGCATGGCACGGTGGAGGGGGACACAAGTTCAGAGCACAGTCAGACTGCCTGTGTCTACAGCTCACTGCCCTTCAGCAAGCCTGGAAGGTGGGTATAGCGACAACAGCTTGATCACAGGATCCTTTTGAGGCTTAGATGCGAAAATATCCACATAAATCACTTAGCACCAAGACAGTAATGGAGGGAGCAGCCCCTACATATTAGCAATTGTGGTCATTACTATTAACGTGGTTGGTGGTGGTCACAAGCAGGGCAAGAAATTGTAGTCAGGCAAGAGCCAGATCAGACCCCAAGGGCCTTGTCGGTGATGTTATGTGATTCTTACCTCTAAAGGGATGGGGACCCTCTGGGAAGGGTGTGATGAGGTTTATGACTTTTAGGAAGACCAGTCTGAGGGCAGTGTGGAGAGTAGATTGTTCTGTGTGGCGATAGGGTTCAAGAGTAGAGGTTGGGAGACCAGTTGGGTAGCTGTATAAAGACATGACAGTTTATGAGGGCCTGAATTAAGGATTGGTATCAGACACGGAGATGAAAATATCAGACATGGAGATGAAAATATAGGTTTAAAATATTTTAAGTGCGAGATCTTGACAATTGATTGTGTGGGAGGTGAAGGAACCAAGGATGACAGGGGGGCATCTGCTCAGGAAACGGTGAGGTTAGTGGTGACTGCATCGTGCAAGAGGGCAGAGGGATGGGGGCAGACAACAAATCAAATTTGGGATATGTTGACCCTGGTGTCCAGAGCACAGGTGAAGATATTTTAAAAAATAGGCAGTTAAAAATAACCTAAAAGTATACCTGATATATGGGGATTGGAATTTTCAAGTGAAGCAGGTAGGAAAAGAATGGACGTTAAGGGAGAAATTGCCTGTTTCAAAAGACCTGATGAAAATGAAGTGAAGGATTTTTTGTTTCGTTTTGATTTTGAAGGCATGATTATGGAAGTGAATGATGGAGGGGAGTAGAAAACAACATTCCAATTAACATCTAGAAGGTAGAATTTAACACTGACATTGTACAGAAGCTCCTGAAGATAGACCCATCCTGTCATTTTTTTAACTGTTTAACTAGGGTGTAGTGTTTCCTGTGGCTTAGAAAAGCATCTATTAAGAAACGATTAGCATAGCTATTGGTGGGGAGTGGGGGGAGGGCAGGGGCAGGTGGAAGAGTAAATACTAGAAATTTTGGGAGAAAAATATGACTTAAGAAGTGATTCTACATGCTCTGGTTCCACATTTTTTTTTTTGGTGATACTTTGGGAGCTGGGAGGCACCAGAATTGTTACCAGTACTGATAGGGAAAGAGAAAACTTAGGGTAGAATAAAGGAGGAAAAGAATGAGCCCTTGAGGGTTGGGCTGTTGTTGGATGATTGACCATTCCCTGGGGCTTCCATTGATTTGAGAAAGCTCTGTGTAGTCCCCAAACACTTCAACAAATTCAGTTAAGCTTACTTTAGCTTAGAAGATAGACATATCATATTTTGTGCTGATAAGGCTGCGTGAGATAATCTGAAACCTTGAGCAGACACTATGCTTAGTCTCCTTTAGACTCTGGTAGCTGTTTCCATGGTTCTATGCCAGGCACAGGAAAGGCACTCAGACATTGAATGGTTGAAATCAAAAGAGTGGCTTTCAGGTTTGAATTGGGAAAGATATGGAAGCATGGAATAAAGTACTGAATTAAGGGTGTAAAATGCTAGATCCCTAGTTTATGCTTTATTTTAAATCCACTTGTTTCTATGTAGCTGTTTTAATATGACTGTCTCACGAATGAGTGAATGAATGAATGAATAAGTGCATGAATTTGTGAAATGGGGATTAAGAATAGAAATGCCCTAATAACTTGAAATGTTGGGTGTCAAGAATCATAATAAAATCCAAAAATATTTTGATCTTTTTTTCCCAAGTAGAATGAGGGAATAGGAATATATAACACAGTAAAACCCAGCTATTTAACTCTTAGAAATTTAATTGTTTGGAGAATCAAGCCTTATATTTATTTCGAACTGAATGGTAACTCAGTTCTTTTTCCAGGGAAAAACGCATTGCCATCTTTAATGATTCTTAAAAATATGAACCCCAAATCTGCCAGTGGGAGTGCTTTTCCATTAAGTTAGTGCACATGAGGGAGCAACAAGGAAGAGGAAGTAGAGAGGAAGAGGTGGAGAGTGAGTGGGATATTGTACTGCCTACAGAATAAAATGTCTTAAATTCTGCCAAACTGTCAGAGGATGATTTATATGGAGTGAGGGTAAATGCCATTGTAGAAAAAAAGGTTAGTGAAAGCAGAAAGAGCCTTCGATTCAATAACTAATTTTGTAGAAAACAAGGCAGACCTATTGCCCGGAAGGCCAAAGAGTTGACTTTTATGTACTCTTCTTGTGAAAAGGAGTAAATGGCAAGAAATATAAAAGCTATAAGGGATATGGTAAGAAACTGGAGGGATGTCCAATGTCAAGCCAGTAGCCCCACCGCCAAACTGCTGGTCGCCACCATAACCTTGAATGGTTTTTTAAAGACGGTACAACTTTCAACATATATGTATTCATTAGGTTGGGGAACTCTGAAGAATATATACGCTCTAAGCTGGGTTCCATCCTCAGAGCAGAGGGATAGTGTGGCACCAGGTGTTTTGGAGGGAGACATCTAAGAAAACAGCCCCTTGTGGAATGCTGGCGCCAAGGCTCCCAGTCTCCTCCCTGAGAAACCAGAGGAAGGGGACAAGAGGCTGTTGGGTGAGTCACATATTCCTCACATACAGCTGTATTAGTAGGTGTCAGAGCTATCTTGTTCAGAGAGGAGGACTTTTTTCCCTTAATACCAAGAGTTACACTTTTGTAAGTATTTTCTATTTTGGAGGAGTCATCCACTTGTAACACCCACCCTTCCCACATACACGCACACCCAAATGAACAAAATCTAATTTTGTTAGGGGAAAAGAAAAGCATCTGATCCACTTGACAAATGAACCACATTTGGCAGCAAGCATGTGGGATTTATCCAAACTGCTTAGAATTAGATCTGAATCTACGGATTTTGACACTCCGTCCATGTAGAAGCAAAGCCGTGTATGAGCCCAGACTGATAAAAAGCTTTAAAGCATTGGAAGTGAGGAATAATAGTATTAAAGCAGAATCACTCTCAACACTCCCAGGGAGTAGAGAAACTGGCACCCTTCTCTAAATATAGGACCAAGCCTGAAGATTCTACAAGCACTTCCAAACTAGGAGTTTGCAGGAACTTGCTGCCACGGGGGAATTGGCAGGGCATCCATCCAAAAGAGAATGC